CAGCAGTAATGTTCTGTACACAAGGTGTGCCGGGATGCTGGGGCTTACAGCCTGCCTCAGACAGGTTACCTAACACGCTCCTGCGAGAGCTGCTTGGTCCAAGGAGAATTCATCCTGCTGACAGACTTTCAGTCCTCTGGAGGAGCCTGGCATTATTGCTTCTGCCTTGCAAATTAAGAAAACTAACTCAGGAATGTAGAAAAAGTTAATAGAAACAGTGTTGCTTGCCTCTATTTTATTTCTTATTGAGTAAAATTATTATAATATTGTAAGAATTTATTAAAACCACATATATTTTATCTGTATGTCAGTTCTGGTTTTCTTTTTTTTTTTTTTTTTTAAGCTCTTTTAAGGTTCTGAAAGGAGAATTGACTATTTGGTATTGGATATCAGTAAATCCAGTATGTTCCCTGCATGAATCACACAGTGGGATCAATTGTACATGCAAATATGTCTTTTGCTTTGTTTTTCTTTTGCTTCTGTAAAGGTAAACACAAACATAATGGGTATGAGACTGAAAATGTGAGAGATGAACAAAAGCAGTACAATAAATCTGATGAACATTTTCAGTTTTAAATATAGGTTTGTGTGAGGATGTGATTTTGGATATTCTGCTCAGTAAAGAGCGCATCTTTCCAAGGAAGTACAAAATGAACCAACCAACCAAATCTAATCCAGCAGAATTAATGTTGCTGAAAGTAGAAAATACGTATCTGGCTCCTGATCTAGCATTGTCTTCATAAAAAGCGTTTGGGCGAAAGTCTTTCAGCACCACACTCATAATTAAGATTAGACTGCCTTAAAGGCTAAATGCATAGTCCGAGACTCTGTTGATCAGAGATGAAATATTGTAGGACCCGGTGCTAGTCCATCAGCATACCTGATTGATGTTGTCATCACCATATAAGACTTCAGGCACTTCAAATACACCCTGAATCAACACCCTTCCCCAGGTCCAAAGGCAAGGTTTGTTGGGCGCAGGACCAGCGCAAAGAGCCCTAGGGCACCACGCCAATCACCCACGGATCAAAGAGTCCATTTAATGCGGATGAAAATGACAGCCTGGACATTTGGCAATTCAGATTACAACTCAGGTATTACCTGCCTTTCCTTTAAATTATAAACTACACTTCGGTGTGGAATTTTTAAATAGAAATGGAATAAAGAAGGAGGAGATGAAAGAAATGGGCAGTAACAAGAAGGAAAAAGGAATCTTTTGTATTTTGTTTCCAGCTTTACAAAAAACTTGGCAGAAAAAATATTTGAAGTATATGATTTTTCCGGCATTAGTTTGTCGTGTTTGAAGTGCTCCCCTAAAGGGAAACTTGGCAGATATTTAAGAAAGAAACCCTGACAGCAGTTTTAATAACGTGAAATATAAGCACAAAGACTTATATAAATGAGGCAGGTCCCATGACATAAGCAGGTTTGGGGAGATAAACTTCACTTCAAGGAGCTCACTTTTCCTAAGTAACTCAATGCTTACATACTCATATACAATGAGCTATTTGAACGTATAAGGATTAAAACACTTATTCCATAATAAGGGTGCTGGTGCCCAGAATGAATCTGGAATATCTTGCCTTGCGTATCAGCTCTTTGGCTGTGTGGAAGGAAGACAGAGAACTAACTTATGTTCCCACAACAACAAAACCAGAGGGAAACGCTGACAAGCTTCATCTCAGGAACAACAAAGCAAGCAGGAAATGCCATTTTGTTTCCCCAGAGAGCAGATCTGATGCCTTATTTTTAAATATGTTAGTTTCACTTACATTACTCACAGTGCTTCAGAAAGTACA